TCAAATCAATTGGTGTAGGAACATTGAGCAAAACCGGTGTGATCATCCAACTTGCCGACCGGTCTTTGGTACACCCAAAGGGTGTACTAGAGGATGTGTTAGTGCAAGTCGATGAATTTATCTTCCCGGCTGATTTTTATGTCTTAGATATGGGAGATGATGACTCTCCAAGTTCAAGTTCCATACTTTTGGGTAGACCTTTTCTTAAAACTTCTAAAACAAAAATTGATGTCTACAATGGAACTTTAAGTATGGAATTTGACGGTGAAGTTATCAAATTCAATGTTCATGAAGAAAAAAAAGGTTCCTTCTGATGTTCAATCTGTTAATTTTGTGAATATGATCCAGCCATTGGCTGAAAAGAGCTTAAACTCGACTAACAATGATTTTGTGGAGTTAGTCTTGTCACAAAAATTAGACAGGTACAAAGCCGAAGAACTTGCAAAGGAGTGAGGTACAAACGAGGAGGTGCTGGAGATTTTGAAATTCAAGGATGATAAGCACGTGTGGATTGATGGAAGAGAAGTAGAGTCACCCACCACTAAAGCCAAATTCCTTCCACCGGTGGAACAAGCACAAGATTCGAGAGCAAAAACTCCACTGGGCACTATAAAGCAAATACATGTCGAGAAGGAGAGCACTCAACCGGTCATCAACTCAAATAAATTATCGAAGAAGGAAGAGAGTGAGTTGATAACCATGCTGAACAAATACCAAAAAAGGATTGAGTGGACAATCTCTGATATAAAAGGGTTAAGTCCTTTTTGGTTTATGCGCAAAAAGAAAGCCAAAGGAAGGTTGAAGGTTCCGTTGAAGGAGGTGGCAAGAAGATTGATGTGTTGGAGAGGCCCAGTTACTTAGAATGAAGCATATGCAGGGGCAAAGTCGAGCCAACGACTTGAAACAAGGGCGGCTAACCGGGAGGCAACCCGGGGGTATTTCTGTCTTTTACTTAAAAACAATTTCCATTTCTTTGAGTTTTTGGTTTTCAATGTTCCAAATGCATTCAATCATGATTTAAAATCACCAAACGGACCTAGGAATGCAAAAGTATTTCATTTCTAAGAGAGGAAAATTTTCAAGTTCAAAAAGTGAGGATTAGCATTCAGGGACCAACACAGGTCGTGTCCCTTTAGCCTTAATGAAACACGGGTCGTGTTCATGCAAAAAAAGTCCAAATTCTTCCAGAGAGCAACACGGGTCGTGTTGTTTTTGGCCTTGACCCAACACGGGTCGTGTTCTCCAAAAAAGTCCCAAATTCTTCCAGAGAGCAACACGGGTCGTGTTGTTTTTGGCCTTGACCCAACACGGGTCGTGTTCGTCCAAAAAAGTCCCAAATTCTTCCAGAGAGCAACACGGGTCGTGTTGTTTTTGGCCTTGACCCAACACGGGTCGTGTTCGTCCATAACGCAACATAAACCCTCCAACAAGGGGCGTGTCAATTTTGCCTGCTGAGACACGGGTCGTGTCCGCGCAGCAGTTACTCCTCTTTTTAAAGAAAAAAAGCGGGATTTGACCTCATTTATCCCCACTTTCACTTCCTAACAACCCCTCTCTCCCAACAAAAACCTTAGGTCCGATTTTCATCAAATACCTTTCAATTTCTTCAAGATTTTGACTTTCATCTACAAAAAGGTTTGATTTTCACCATCTACACTTCATCTTCTCCATCTTAAACACCATTTTCTTGCATTTTAATGGTGGATTTGGGGGTTTTGACAAACCCTAGTTCCGAAAATTCTCACTTGATTTTGGTGTTTTAGTGTCTCAATCTTGAAAGGGGCAAGCTTGGGGAGGTTAAAGAAGATCTTTTCCATCAAGAACAACACGATCCAACACACGATTCGGTAAATTCTTTCCAACTCCTAACCTTTGAATTTTGTGTTCTTGAGTCAAATACTTGAAAGTGTGCTCTTTTTGGACTTGATTCTTAGTTTGAAATCTTTGAAAACCAAATTTCCCGCGAAATTTTGGTGGCCAAGTTCAAAGTTGACTGGACCCGTCAACAGTTGACTTTTTGACATTTTGACCCGTTGACTTTTAATCTGTCCCAAACTTGACTATGGAAGCTACATCTTCCAAAAGACCAAGACAAACCAAATCATCCGCCCGCCGTCGGAAGCCTAGATCTCCATCACCTCCATCCAGATCTCCCTCACCTCCATCTAGGTCCCCAACACCCCCAGCCGACCCGTCTCATTTTGGTGCCGTATGTCTTGGCCCAGTTCAACAGGGAAAACTCGAGTCATTCCTTAAACGAGGTCATGCCATCCAAAAATTCGCGCATGTTCCAACTTTGAAAGAGTTGCATGTTTACAATCAAGTCAAAACCCTGTTTCGCAACATAGGGTGGCACGGCTTGTTGAGGGTCCATGAATTGAGCTATAAAGTCCCAACAGCTGAGTTTCTATCCTCAGTTTATTTAGATCATGGGATCCTCTACTTCCGTCTAATGAATCAAGACTATGATATCTCCTTGGATCAAATCAATGTCATTGTGGGGGCCCCAACGGAAAACACATTTGGCCCCACTGATCCAATCCAAGGATACTATGACATGACTTGGTGGACCCATCTCACCAATTACATTCATATATCTCTAGCGCTGCTAAATCCTGATCACTTATCCATCCTGTGATTAAGGTAGCTCACAGAATCATTGCTTCGCTCGTCGCCCCTAGAGAGGAGCGAAGCACCATTACGCGCGCTGGAACTAAAATCCTTTATGCAATGACCCATCCCGAGAATAACCTCATTCTCATTATTGGTCGGTTTCTGTGCCACAAGCTCATCCGCCTCTAGCGCATCCCGATCGGGAAAGATTGTTTGCGG